CAAATTTTGCTTTGATTTTGCCAGAACCTTGTCGTCAGCTTATTTAACAAATATATCAGACAATTTTTTTCATTAATGTAATAATTATGTAAAATAGTTAAGTAACATAATTTAATATGTAGATGTAAGATTATTGTAAATACATTATTATATGTTTCGACAATAATCATTGTATTCTGTATGCGTGTAACGAGTGTGCCATACCAAAACTTGTTTACGGCGCACTATTTGCTTTAACTCTTAATTTTTTCAGTCAGAGAGGAAGAGGTACGTTTAAACGGCACGATATAATTTTCACATAAAACACGCATATAACGTTACATAGCTGTACTGAATTTTTGCAACCTGACTGACACGATGATATCACTTTTTCTCTTTGTGATGCGGGTGACCGCGACTTTATCGGCTCCTTTTAAGGAACATTTTATGACGGTACGTTCTCGCGGAACGACCACCTACACGCAACGCTGAGCCACGTGTAAAAAGTAAAACGACTAGAGAAACGCGCCGGAGACGCTGACCCAGCAAATCTTTCTCTTCCCGCGTAAATTTCGCGGTTGTCCGCGTAAATCATGCCGGAATTGTAAGTCGCTAAAGTAATCGGTAAACAGGTTGTTCAAAACAATAATACCAATCATGATGAAACATTATCAATTTGATAAGAAACTGGTTTCCTGATGCTAATAAAAGAAAACGGGAATTATAAGCGGCTTCTGTTGCTAACAAATGCTTGGAAAAGATGAATCGTTAATTTAACATTTCTAATATATAGACAAAACACTTGGCGAGACTTGATTAAGATCAACCGTTGAACGCAGGCACAAACGCAGGCAGATGTACGTTTAATGCTTACGGCACGCAGCTAACATTTATCGCGGCGGATAACCGTTCGCGTTTGCATCCACCGTATACGTGCGGTCCGCAAGATTGTCCGCAAGACCTCGAGGACCGCGCCGTCCGAGCGATTGTCACGCGACGTTCGTGTGTTACACGTGTCTCCTCGTAATGAGCAAGGACGCCCACGCACTCGCGTTACGAGCCGGACGGACGTGTGCGATGATGGACGCCCGGCTTTCGCCACGCGGTTAATCCCGCGACGGTTATGCGCACGTATGCGCGCGTTGAGGTCTCTAATGGTGATCCAATTCACCATCCGCTCATCCTCCGATTAGACTCGATTGTTGGCCGGTCGTTGACTTCGGACACGGACTTTGGCGCATAATGCGCTTCGATTTTTGCCGATCGAGTAATGGACCGTGCCGTGCTTATTATTCAATCGAATTCCTTCCCTTGCTACTTAATCTACAAATTGCTTATTGTTGTTTGTACTTTGACCCAGTTATAAAATTAGTCTGACCGTTTTTTTAAAACTTGTTAAACTATTAACTGGTTGTTGTTGTTTTTACTTCGACCCAGTTAAAAAATTAGCGTCTAACTGGTTTTTTAAAAACTTGTAAAACTATTATCGATGCTGACTGAATGATATTTTCGTGCAAAGAGAACATTATGTTATTATATCGCTGCATTGGAAAGAAAAGGCACGTCTGGCACACGCGTAATCCGTAAAACTTTGAAATGCTAACGAGAATATGTTAGTAAATATTTCTCACGTTTCGCGCAAATTATGACGCAATGTGCGTCAATTAAAGTAATCTCGTCGATCGCATCGCGCTCTAAAACGAACGTTACATTTGTTATTGGAATAAACTTTACAAAACGTTATTATTTGTATCGCGCTTAATTTTATTTAAACGAGAGGCAGTAAACGCGGCTGCTCACGGAGATTGGCATCGCGATTTTTTTCAACGTAGGCGTGAAGTAGCGCTATGCAATTACGTGTAGCTGTTGGATATTGATAGAGCAGCGTAACCGCGCGTCTACAAATTAATGCAAATATCAGAAACGTATAAAGTGATGAAGTTATGTCATCCCGTGGGCGGCCGTTACGTTATCCGGCGAAAAATAAAAGCTTGACTAATGATGCTCGCGCATCGGCGTTTTTATCGCTGCTTTTTTCGACCGACGTGAGAAGAGAACCTTGCGACCCAATCGATCATTTTTAGCGCGCAGCTAGATTATTATCGTCAAAACTGTCTACGATGCTATCCCAGACAGCACGCGTGTCCAAAATCTGGACATAAGACGCCTAAAAGACTATCTTTTAGACATCTTTTAGACGTCTTAAAGACGTCTTATGTCCCGATTTTGGACATGGTGCTGTCTGGGTATATTTATTGCAAGAAGCAACAAAGTGGAGTAGGATACATTCAGATCTCATTTTGGTGAATCGTTTATTGACGTATCGTCTCGCAATCTCTTAGAACCCTCGATTCGTAAGTCCCATCTGCGCAACCATTTGGTCGGCAATTACACAATACCCGTCTTTATGAATGACGTCTTTCAGTCTTTGAGAGAGTCCGACGAAGCCCGACGTGGAGACCGTCTATACCGTTCGACCGAAATTTTGCAACTCGAAATTAATGTGTCTCGCGAGCTTGAAGGCACGTTCCAGGAAGATAAACTCGTCCAAATCCGGCAACGGGCCTATTCCTTGTATGGACACACGAATCTGTAGTCAAGGATAACCATGTGTACATCGCGTTTCCTCGTCAGTTGGCGCTTACAAACGCGAGATGTTCAGCGTCTCGTAACGTATACCGCTATACGATACGCGGTTTCTCTTTCTCTCTCCTCTCGGAGCAACCGTTGTACGCCGTATATAGAGATCTTATGTGGTGCTCTCCCTCGTCTTCATTTATTTTTGCGCGATTACGTAAATCTGATTGTTACAACGGAATCGGGAAGCTAATGAAGATTTCAGGCAGAGATCGCGTTAAATGGACTCGTACAGATCTTCGGATTCTTTATTCGAAAGCGGACAAAATTGCACGCGATTATTACTCGTTATTACTACTCGCGGCTACTTGAGAAATATCTGCACGCGCGCTTTCTGCGTGATTTACATCTTCATTCATGCCGACCAATGTCGACGGAGTCCATCGAAAGCATCGCTTTTCTCCTCGATGCATTAATACTTTCGCTGTTATTTAATCCTAGCTAATCACACTTATTTTCAAGTCCTTTGATTCGCTACACTCCGTGAGACCGCTCAACTTTGTCGCATTGTCATTTTTGTTCTAATTAATATTTTTAAGCTTGTGATGTAAGAATTGGAAATACAAAGTCTGAATAAGATGTTTACGATAATATTAGGTTAAGAAAATGATTTGAGTTTAAACTGAACTTATTATAAGGAAATTAGAAAATTATGTTATTATGTGAAAATTAGAAAACCGAAAAACGTTCACTGGACCGGAATGTGGCGAGCTAGGGTTAAAACGCAGCGACAATTTTAATTACTTTAGCGGTCTTTAGAAAAACATTGAACACAAAAATCAGAGTATATAAACGACTGCTCTTCCTGTAGCAATCTCGGCGTATTATAATTGTTCCCGTCTCGCGTGGATAGACTAGGTCAGAAATTAAACAAACGATCTTGAAGTTGACGTTGACATTCGCCGTATCTAACATGATCGCAATGAAAACGCTATTAATCGCGAAAACGAAGGCTCGATTCATCGCGATTTATAGAAATGTCCTCCCTGATATGTGTGAAAGGATATTTCGCGCCCACGTGCGCATATGCTGTAGCGCGAGCATCGAGCGCGCGCAGTGACAATTTCATCTGCCGATCGTATATACGCCGCGTTTCACCGCGTTTCGCAAACTTGTCGCTCGCCGTCATTCGTCTCGCTAGAAGTTTCGATAAGAAAGTCGTCTCTCTCCTCGAGTGAGTTGTTCTTAATACCCACGAATCTGAGAAACGCGCGTACATGTTGACGCGGTAATATATTACGTTACGGTAATAGAGACAAGTTGGCGCGAAGATATTGACGTATCGGCGCCGAAGGACGCTCGTAGGTTTGTCCGTGAGCATCACGTTGGGCGGTGATTTGTTTTCCTCGGGGTCCAGAGATGCGTAATTCCTACATCAGCATGTTGGCATTGGTAGATAAATAATTACAGTCATCGATCTTTTCACGCTTGTTTTTTCTGAGAAGTTAAATTTAGATTTTAATTTTAACGTATCATAGTTACATTATTATAGTTATAACATTAGCTTTATCGTAACATGCACAGCCATGCGAACGCGTAATTGGAGGCATTACCGTGTCGTAATGAAAGAAATGTTTCTTCTCGTTGCGAGATGTAGAGGCACCTAATTAATTATTGGTGCGTGAGCGTTGATTCTCATCCTGAGGTGATATGCTTCTTCGGAAGCGGCGAACAGCGCTAACCCTGTTTAGAGGATGCTAAAAATACTAATATACTTCGCAGAATCCAAAATGATATCCACTCGATCGTGTACTCTTCTGTGTAAGCTGGTTCGTGCTTGATACTCGCTCTTCAAACTTCTTTGTTCCTTAATCACTCAACTTCTTGTATTCCATTATGGCTCCCCCGTAGAACTGAAGCACGCGATAATATAACTGCAAGCGTAGGCGTAATTACCAACAAGCACTTGTTCGCGCATACAAACGTATCTTCATGAAAAATATAATTTTCAACTGTGAGAAAATAGAAAATTTTCCGATTTATTATTTTTATTCTAACGTTTATTTATCTCTCTAATTTTAATGCCGCTTTCAATTATGTGTAAAGAGATATTTTTCAAGACATATGAGTCTTGAATTTATAGCTTTAAAGATAACAGCGGACAAGACACTTCAAGAGAGCCCTTATTCAACGGGAAAGAAACTCCGCCGTTTCGTTACGGCTTCTCAGAGAAATCGTGAGGGATTCTCCGCGCGCATAAGTGCGCACTCATGTTTATCCATATCACGAGTGTCTTATTCTTTCTTTATTTTCTAAGAAGAGATTCATGTGGCGTTCTTATCATCGCGCTCTCGCTTTCGATTAGCTTTCTCGGTGTGCATCCAGTTTTCGAAAGCGACCTTCGTCTCGCCGATAACGGTAGTCTCTCTCCTTCTGCTTCTCAGGCGGCACTTGATCGCGTGGCGCACGTCTCTGCACGACATCGTTCTTGAATAGCCTGGGAACTGTCGAAGAAAGTGAAGTGGGTCCTGGACGAGGACCCGGGAAGAGCGAGGAAGGAAGCGTCGTCGCCGCGGGAGAATCCGGCGTGCGGCGCCGGAAACGGAGCAGCCGGAAGGAGCAGCCTCAGAATGTCGTACGCCAACAATCGATTCCCGTCATCCCAGCACACCCGTTATCGCAGTAGCTGGGGCCCGTCCTCGGTATCCGTCTTCAATCGCGCCGACGTGCCGCGACCCTCGCCGGAAGAGGAAGAGTTTGAGTTCTACCACGAGCGGCTGCATTCGGCGCAGAGCCGCCAGCTGATACCACTTCAGGAGGACCTGGCCGATTGGATCAACAAGACGATAAGTGAGTAACATCGTCCGTTACAGAGATAGGAACGTATCTTATTTCCGCGACATGAGTATCGATCGACGAGAAACTCGACGAACGAGTTCGGGACACCGCCAAGGCCGGCGAATATCGTTTCGTGAGAAATTTCGATAACATTATAGATATTACTTTCGCCAATTTATGGGAAAGATCGATAGCCCGCGCGGAATTCGCGGACCGAAGTTGGAATGACTCAGAGCGTATTCCGCGTCGGAGTTCTCCGATATAGAACGCGAAATCGAGCTCCTTCCCCGAATTGTTTCCACCAGATTAATAGTCTCGTGCTCGTAATTTTGTCGTCTCGATGCCACGTCACGCGAGCAGAGACGACAACAGTGCATCGCGTGTTATCTTCGAAATGTCGTTTTCATGTAAAGTTTGTCAAGAGCCTCACTGAAGCCGTGATAAGCGCGACTCGTACGTATTTATTAACGTTTCCTTAGAACGCCCCGCTCCGAAATCGTGCGTTTAGAAAGACAAATAAAAATCTACCCTCACGAATATATTCACTTCTCCAAAATACTTTAAAGTATTAAATTAATCACACTATGTAATTGTGTAAAAAAATGTTCCCTATGACTTTTCCCATCTGGGTCGATCGCGAACGCCGTGTAAGGCGCAAAAAGAAATCGGCGTGGCGTAACGGCGCGTAACAACTTCGACAATCATGCCATGCTCGACCACATTTCTTTTTTTTCACGTTCCATCGGGTCTCGTTCGATGTGAAGTCACCTTAAAAAGAGCCTGTCGTGCCACGATGTGACGTGCTCGTGCAAGCCTTACGCAGCTTTGGTGCACAAGAGCCGGCACAAAAGTTATATAGCATCTGGCGCGCTACGTGGGAAAGGGTATTCATAATATTTCGCCTTACACTTCGTCGCGTTTCAGTCCGAGCTGCCGTGTAAAAACGTGCGCGCCATATGCACCGAATTTCGCGAAGCTCGCTTGAACGTCGCCGAAAAACGTTCAAGGATGGAGCCGTATATCCGTATATCGTTTCTTAAAAAAAAATTTTACTACTTTACAAGCCCACTTGGCACGGAAGGAACGGACTGTAAAACGAACTGCGCGCAACGAGAAACGTAAAGAGAGATAGTCGGGACGACCTAAAAAATAACTATAGAAAGATCAATAAGCAATTGTTCTCATTTGTTGTGCGCGAAATATGCTGCATAAAAATCGTTATCGCATCGGTACTAAATTTCGGAAGTTTCGAAGTAGGTGAAAGTTTCCGCAACTTATTAGATTAGTGCAGTGAAGACTGCATTCCTGAAACGAGTACACGAGGTTAATGCCATACAACTTTTCTTCCGAACCTACCTAATCAACGAACTATCAATCGACAATTAGTCTCTCAATTTTATTGATTTGTACCATTTAAGACGAGATTGAAATTTATTAATCGTTTGATTTTATCAACTGTGCAATTGAACTTGATTATCTCTATTGGTAACATAATAACGTAACGTAACAATATGATTATAGCGTTAATTAATTATGAATTATCGGATAATAAATTTAATCGAGTAGATCGCTGTTTTCTAAAAAAAAAATTGCTGCAACTGTAGCAAGGCTGTCAGAGAGTTAGAAATTGCTGCTTAATCTTTAACGCCAGAGGAAAGAAAGGTGAAACGACGAAAAGAGCAGTGGTCCGTGATTCTTTTCCTACAAGGAACTGGAAATTGACCGATGGCTATCTAATCCTAGGCGCGCGCGCGTGTGTGACCGCCTTTCTGAACTGCTAGTTTCCTAATACGGTACGAATACGAGTTGATGCGTAAAATAGAACTGCCACGGTGTACCGAGCGTCGCAGAAAGTAGCAATTCTGACGCTGCACAGTATTTCATGTAACAAACATTCGCGACGCGGACTTTTCACTGCGTCCTACTCCATCTCTATTCTGACCTTGCACTTTTAGCGATTGATCCTGAGAAATCACCGTGCAATCTCCCGTCAAGATTGGTCTCTGAGATGACCACTCTGAAGATAATTTGTTAATTCCCCGTTAGATCGCAATTGGATCGCATACCCGAATGAGAGATTATTGATGAAAACATTGCCGGTGCCTACCCACATAATTCGATTCACTTGCGATTGTCGCTTTGTACGTACTTTCACCTCTGATTACACGTTGCTGACGGGATTAAGCGCGCGCGCACACACGTGTCGATGATCAAGGAAAGTGCGTCCATAAAATACGCTCGCAGATGCAGTTTGGCGAGCGGAATGTGTGAAAACGAGTGTGGTCTCGAGCGCGACCTCGAAGGATCCAGCCGCGCGATGTGGACCACCCTGAGAGATTGCGACACGAGGCGTACTGCACGCCGAGAAAAACGAGCGATAAACGAACATCGCGAGCGTAAACGAACATTGCGAGCTCGTAAGTATATTTAGTCACAAAAGGCTATAAGACGATATAGCATGGCGATATAGCATGGCGCACACGAGATGTATGATTTACGTGACTCGTCTAAATCATGTCGCTTAAAATATATCGATCTTTGATAGGCTGCCAGAGATACTCGGTGATAGTAAATTAATGCCGGATGGTACTATATCGCGTAATGTTCACGATACAACGATTTCAGCTCGTTAAAAGCGCAAAACTGGACATGTTAAAGAGATTAGGCAGTTTTTAAGATAATCAGGATTCCTGAGTAGATGATAACAAAAATTTTTTTTTTTACTCGTGTTCTCAGACGTGAACGTTCGTAGTGCTTATTATAGCATACGAGACACATGTTTTATTCCCAAAGGGAGAAGCCGATCCTTCGCACATATCATATCACGTAATGTGTACGCTGCAACTTTGCAAATTGCTTTCCTTTTCTTCGGTGTGTAATTTTGAAATCAACTTGGGACTTTCTCTTTACTAGAGCATGAATTTATGAATTTATACCGACAAATCGCGACATTTTCCATTATTTGCTTCTTATAAGCGTGCGAATTAAATAACTAAAAATCAGCGAAAGGATTTAAATCTTCTTGCTTTTCTGAATATCATCAATGAAGAAAATTTAATGCGCTCCGGCTTTAAAATAACTTATGTGACATATCGTATCAACAAAATGTTCTAAGCGTGATTTTGAAAGAGACTTTCAACGAGACGTGGGGATAAATAAATAAAGGCATTCAGTGAGTTTCCAAAGACAGCGAGAAAGGTTGAAATTCGCTCGGCCGCTCCTAGCGTGTCATAAATGTGTTTGCACATCCGAGTTTGTTTGAGGAACAGATTTGCTCGCACAAAATACCGTCTAACGAAGATTAGAATTTTGAAATGGGAACGTAAGAATCTTTTTAAGACAATTTATCAATTTCTAACTAAAATTGGAAGCAAATGTTAAAATATTAATTTGATTTTTTATACCGCTCGTATTTTCCATAAAGATTTTACTCGACAGAGTTAGATGCAATAAAAAAACGACGGTGTGACGTAGTCTTGTTACAGCTTATTTAGACGGCTACATCGCATGAATCTCTCCTAGGAGGCTTACACAAAATGAAGATACAGAGAGGGACTTCTCATTGATATTCAGAGGTTGCCAAAGCGTCATTGGCGACGTGAAAAAAATAACACGACGGTCTTTCGTTACCCACGCGCGCCCTGCGCCTCCTGCAGTTGCAAAGCCTCCGTGACTCAACCGGAAGTCGGCCGGGCACCCCTCTTCCTTCACGCCACTTCTTCTCTTCTCCCTTCAACGCGGGGCACCCAAAGCCGCATTATGCATAATGGGCGTACCGCCTTCCTAATACGCTTGCGCATCCGCGGGAGAACACCATCGACTCGTGAGACAATACGGCGCGGTCTAAGCGACGGGAGATATCGCCTTGACACGCGCCGCGGACGGTTCGATCGGCCGTAAATCAGAAAGCGAAACCTTTCGGATCGGCCGCGCTAATTTATCGCCGCCGATTATTCTGCCGATACAGGCACCGCAGAGAGGCGACTCGCGCGGACTCGCGCGGACTTCGAATGGATTTATCGTGGGATCCTGGTCGCGGCTGCTCCGATATGCGCCGTTTATAGAGGCGTGCTTCCGAGCGAATCGTGATCGTGCCTTCGGAGCCGCTTTTGCCACGCCGCCGCTATTGCGTGGCGAATAATTCAAAAATGCCGGCTCCGTAACACGAATGGACAGATAAGGAACAGATATATATATATATACGCTCGGCGTGTAACGAGATAATATAATCGAGACATTCACGAGCACAGAGCTCGAAAAGAAACTTGAAGATATCGCCCTTAAGAGACGGCAGTCCGGCATTAAAATGGAACAGAACCACCAAGGATTTGACGAAAATACGGGTCACGGTATACATATAGTCGCGCGCGACGAGTCTCGGGCGTTGAGCAATCGCGAGAAAACGAAGGGCGGATGTCAGTACCAATAAGAGTCGGAGGAAGGACTTCCTTTCGCCGCGGCACGTCGTCGGCTGTAAAGCCCGCGTCGTGAAATTTATGCGCGGCTCGAGCGGAGGACGATATATCATATGTATCTTTATTCGAATCGGGGATACAACATATCTTACTCACTCGACACCCGATGATCGATAACCGCGCGCCGATTTCGGTGCCATGTATCCTTAATCGTATATAAAACGCGTATCATTGCACTGAAAATCGCGGTCAGCGCGGCCGCGAGGATTAAGGTCGCGAAGTTTAAGATCCGAGAAAAACGCGAGTACACTCTGTTAAATATTAAAGGATGAAATTTAAACCAATACCTTGAGTTAGATAAAATTTTGTTATTTTTAACTATTATTTGTGTCGAAGTTTATTGTTTTAACACCAAATAATATTATTTTAACTCGATTAGTTTAGTTAAACTAACATTGTTAATTTAGTTAAATTAATGACATATTGAGTAGGTAGGAGCAGTGACGACTTACAGGAATGATTAAAAATGTTTCAAATTGAGTATAATTTGATCTTATGAATTTAACAGTGCATAGCATATCCGGAGAATTTTGACGATTAAACTTCACGCCTGATGCAACTGACTGGATGTATGTACGTTTGTAGATTCCAGTCACTTCTCAACTTTCGGTTCTCACGTTTCGACTTCCGACTCGAATTTTTAACGTTCGCTCAACTTACAGTCGTGAATCTTCGGGTCTCGACTCACACTCGATATCGTCGCTATACGTGAATGGCATAAGCAATGACAGAAAACGTAAATAGTGGATGACATACTGCGGAAGACGGAGAGATTGTCTTCCTTTCTCTCTCTTTCTCATAATACGAATAACTTTTATTTTATTAGTATACAATGTATACAAGTACAATATACAATACTTGAGGTCGACGAAATTATCTCACGGAGAACGCCACGATTTGCTGGCATTAGCTCTCGCACGCGGAATTTGCTGTCTTATAACGTGAAACAAGCGGAGGATTTCGATATACCTATTGATGCACCTAAAATATTGTTGAAAATGCTTGACCATACACTGTTAAATTCATAGTGTCAAATTATATTCAATTTGAGTCATTTTTAACTATTCTTATAGGTTGCCACTGCTCCTACTCTCTCAATATGTCATTAATTTAACTAAAACATTATTAATTTACCTAATGGAGTTAAAATACTGTTTTGTTAAAATAATAAATGTTGACATACATGGTAGTTAAAAATAACAGACTCTTATTTAATTCAAGGTAGTGGTTTAAATTTCATCCTTAAATATTTAACAGTGTAGCTTTCACTTATAAATATCCGAAAGAAAGCTCGCTTAACATCGAGGTACCGCGAGGTCTGCCGCGTTTCGCTCCCTAAATTCCATAATTCGCGCGTCGATCGCCCGAGATTCTCACAGATACCTGGGCACGTATTATGAAACTTTTCGGAATGGATTCCGATCGGAATTGTTCAGTTATTTCTTAGATTTCTATTGTCTTTTCTAGGAAAAACGGAATAATTCCGATAAGTTCCATAATACGTGCCCTGGGCCCATATTCTGTACACGCTTACCGACAACTATATCGGTTCGATAAGCGTCGTTGCGCAGGTTTTTCATATATCGTATAAAAGCTGCGCCGACGCTGTTAACGACACCGACGACTGTCGGTAAGCGTGTACAGAATTGGGCCCGTGGATGACGGATTTGTCCGGGCGACGCGACGCCTCGGAAAATAGTGCTCTAAAGTCACGTCAGAGACCCAGGGAACATAATGCCATGGACATATATCTGGATCGGTGACGGGGAACACGATCGCCTTACGTAGTTCCGGGTGACCGAGTTTCCCGCACGACGGGAACTCCTTGTGCGTCCCGTGCATTGCACGTGCTCAAGTTCGAGTCTGGTCTCTCAACCCATTATTCGCAACTAATAAAAGTCATTTTCTGTTCAGTCATCAAATTAATCCGTTCAAGAATGTTCGTTCTTTAAAAAAATTATATACGGTAATATCCAGACTTGTACAATCGAACAAGGAAGACTGCAATTTTCTGATACTTTGTATTGCAGATTTCGATTATTTTTACAATGTCTACATAATTGTATGACAGGATTCACTTGCTCGTAGGGCTAATTCTTGAGATTCTGAGGTCTAGATAGAGCTATCGCGAAACGAGTTCTCTTATCAATTCTTTTCAATCCGTTTGTTTTTGGGAGAACATGGAACCGATTTACGACGTCGCGTGGCTCCGTGAGAGAGCGGCAGGTCTTGGGTTCGATCTCTCATCTCATACGCGAATTTTAAATTTGTAATCTGCTTCCTAGACCTTCAAATTGGAAGTATTGTGTATTGGCAACCCTACATTACATGAAACATTCTATTATTGCAAATGTTCATAAAGAGGAAGCCGGACCGAATGTCTAGAATAGACTCAATAGACCAAGACCCACTCAGAATTGTGGAGTCAATGTTGATTAACTGATAGACTCGATTTGTGTCCTACAATTTCGACACACGGCAACGCATGACAGCCGTGGAGCGCCACGTGATAGATTCCGCGCCGCACACGCGGACCAGCCGTTTAAAACCTATTCTTTTCATCGTGCTCCCGGTGCCAACCCCATTGTTGTTACCGGGTCGAGTCACGAGCCCGCGCTCGCGAGTTCTCATTACCATCCGTATCTACGATGCACTATCGCTGCGCCAGGGCCCAACCTAGTTCCTATTTCCCATCGTGCCCGCTCTATATCTATATAGAGGTGTCTACGGGATCGTGTGTCGCGACCCCGCGAGTTTTCCTTAGATTCGCCGCATCGATCGGCCGCTTCACCCTGAGAGAGACAGAGAAACGACGTGTATATCGGAGATATTGACATTCGAGATAATTCAAGCGTCTTTAAGTGGAGCACGGATTTCTATATTTCGCGTTTTATACTTTGTACTTTTTAATACGTGAACAAAATATTACAGCTTCTTCGATATCAAAGATGTTACTGTAATCTATAAAGTATTTAACATCATCTTAACATCATGTTCTTTTAGCTATAAAATTTATGCGTTTCTCCGATTTAGATGCAGTCGACACGCTCCACTTGGATATAACTTCGATAATATAAAACTGGATGATAAAAATAAATCACGCGCATGTGATTTACAACGCGAAGCGAAGAAGTGAAAATCGCGGAGGAGTTTTCCGAGAGGAAAAAAGACCTCCTTTGCCTATCTCCTGTCTGCGTATCCGGTGAAATTCAATTGCTCCGCTATCTATCGATATCTTCGGTACGATAAATATAATCGGATAACGATCGTAGCGCGCGCTACCACGTACGTTCGTATCCTAAAACGAGAGATCTAACGGATCGCAACAGGAGGCGGTAATAGATAACGGCCGACGGTCAGCGCAGATGCGCTCACTCTATCATCTACCGTATGGCTGTGTTCGCGCGCATGAACTGCTATAAGGGATAACGAATACGGAAAAGAGACGGCAATAAATAATGCGCGGCCGGTAATAGATAACGACTAATGGCGAGCGTAGACTCGGATTAACGTACATAATTAACATGCGTGTTAAACTGAACGGAGAGAATAAGAATAGAGGCGTCTCTCTTTGCGGGGAAAATTACATAATTTGTCAAGGCGCATGAGGCTTCTTGTTAAGATCTGTAAAGTATACGGATGTGAAAGATATAAGTGGTAGGGACGGTAATTAATGATAGCTAACGATGTGAAGAGACTTGGATTAACGCGCGTGATCAGCTTGACTTGCACGTTGAAGTTGAACAAAGAGAATAGAAATGGAAGATTACCTTCGCCAAGGAGATTTTAGATAATTTGCCTAATTTCAAGACAAACAAGGGGCCAAAAAGATTGATCGGCTCGTTTCCCCGAGAAAGTCGGAATTCATGAAATATTTATCAGGAAATCTCGCGAGCTCTCCTCTCGCGGTTGGAATGGATATTGGAAAGTTTTATTATCCGGAAAAGTGGAACGTGTGTGTCCTTGATCTATGCTTAGTACCTACGGCAGTGAACGAAACTAAAGCGATTTTATAGTCACGCATGAGTCGACCTATCGTGAGAGTATTGCGACCTGACTGGCTTCTCGCTTGACCCGCCATGCCGTACGATTCCCGACGCGCGTCGCGGCTTTACAAAGTGCCGCCCTTTTTCCCTCTGAAAATCACGAGACGCGACCAGAACCGAGATCGGGATCTCGGCGGGTATAACGATGAATCAGCCGTTCGACCTAAACCGATTGTCTTTCCAGTTGCCAATCTTGCCGATTGCCCATTAAGACGCCCGTCGTCCTTGAGCGCGTCGCGCGCTACTGATAAATGATTTGCCGCACGATCACTCCCCGGAGTAAATTTGTTTCGTCAAACAGGCCTCTCCGACCGACCAAACCGGCTCGTCGATCGACATTCGATACATGGTCGAATCACCGTTGCGCCTGGTACACTTACGGTACGATTACTACAATCACGTTGTCGATCGATCGTGTCGAATAGCTGCTTTCGCGAAGCAAAGTCGAGCACTGATTTTCAACTACCGACTGTTACTCGCTGTTTTCGTTGATTGTATAATAAATAAATGACACGATATAAATGATTGCTGGCGCGGAACATTGAGAGAAATCCGCGCATCGTAATTACATTGATCGAGAGAATAGATAAGACGTGATGTATATAATCATTTACAACAGCTTGCGGATAGAGGATTGAATAAGGCGCGAATGGCGTGTTATTTTTTTTTCGTTACAACGTACCAGCTCATCGAGCCACTTGAGTGTCATTGAAAGATACTTGCAGCTTATATGCCGAGCGAGACTCGTGCGTGAGCGCGAGCGAATTATCGCTGACGCGACGGGCGAGCTAATTTCGCAATCTTCGAATTTCAGATGTGGATTACATAACGGGTGACAATTTCTTCGACGTGCTTGATAATGGGGTGATTGTGTGTCGACTGGCGAGAATTATCCAGGAAAAGGCGAGATCCGCGATAGAGGCTGGACGGGCGAAGGGGGTAAGTATATTACAATTCACTTTGCACCTCTTAGCTTAGATTTCACATGTTTTTGCATTAATAAGATGTTCTTTGCAAACAATACACTGTCAAATTCGTAGTGTCAAATTATACTCAATTTGAGTGATTTTTAATATTCTATAAGTCGCCACTGCTCCTATACTCAATATATCGTTAATTTAACCGAAATACTGTTAATTTAACTAAATCAATAAAGTTGAAATAATACTTTGTTTTGTGTTAAAATAATAAATTTTGACACACGTGGTAATTAAAAATAACAAAATGTTATTTAATTCAAGGTATTGATTTAAATCCCATCCTTTAATATTCAACAGTGTAATTTCTTTCTTATTACACGCAATGACATTTAATTATTAAAGTATACAATATATCACGAAGCGAGTTTTGCGATTAGGAATTGTGTTTTGATGTGTTGAATGAAAGTTCGGAGATTGTCGCTCGCAGAAACATGGAGAAACGTTGTTGTTGCAGCCGGTACCGGTGATACGTGGACGTTGTTGGGAGAACGCGGCCCGTCGCAGCTTCTTCTCCCGCGATAACATGGAGAACTTCATACAATTCTGCCGGCGGCTGGGCGTCCACGAGAATCTTCTCTTCGAAAGCGACGATCTCGGTAAAGCCTGGCGCACAATTAATTTTAATGCATGCGAATTAAGCAGGCGGGCGGGCTACGCGCGACGCAGCCGTTCGCTCTATCGGACGACTTTCAACGCGGATGAGATTTAAGTGCGCGCCCGATTAAGTTGACGAGCGGCGATTAGCGGAAACATAGTAATTGACTCGCGCAATCTCGTGGCGGACACGCGTGTAGGGACGTGTGCCGTATAAATTACGATCCGGCGTGAAACGAGATATGCAAATCCGTATAATAGCGGGAGCGAGGAGCGAGAGTGATCGTCGCGCGGATTGCGCGCGCGACTCCGAGGAAAGTGGAGCGAATCTTCGTCTCTTCAGAGATCGGCGGACGGCGGGACTTTCTCGCTTAATCAACTTTAATTGCCGTCAAAAACAAACAGTGCGGTTACGTAAATGACGTAACGACGTAATCGAGCGTGGCGCGAAGCCGCCTTGAGAAAAGCGTTTTTATATTGTGCACGGATAGCACAATGAAACGTTGACTTGAACAAAACCGGAGACGATAAAGCTAGATAATGAAAATGTATAAATAATAAATGAATCCCAATATGATAAAATAAAACATTTTGTCATTTTATACACGGCATATATGTATAGCGCGGTCCATTTTTTTGCAGTTCTGCACGGCCAACCACGGAATGTTGTGCTGTGTCTACTGGAAGTCGCGAGACTGGCGGCCAGATATTCTCTGGAGCCGCCCGGGCTCGTGCAACTCGAGAGGGAAATCGCGGCGGAACAGGAAAGGGATCTTCACTGTTTGTCCGACAGCGGTATATCTCACAGCAGCCTTGTCTCCTGGCAATTCAAATCGCCGTCGCCGACCGCGACACCCAGGCCGTCGCCGGAGAAGATCAAACACAGCAGGTAAACGAGCCGTAATTTCTAGGTTTTAATGAACGAGAACATATTCTCAAGAACCATCACGGGTTATTCTAATATTTATTTCTATCAACGTAGATTAACTTTAATCTCGGTTTAACTTACTTTTTATCTTATCTTGGTTCTGAAAATTAGAAGAAGATAAGAAGTTAAACCGAGATTAAAGTTAATCTGCATTGATAGAAATGGACATAAGAGCCCAATTCATCGCTCTTACAACCGAGCCTGCGTACAATATTAATGCGTTACTTACAACGTAACGGTTGACAAGCGACGATGTTGACGAGAAGAAACCGAAACTTAACCGTTACGGAATGTATAATGCATGTATGTTATGCGCTCGCATAATTTCTGTTTCGTTTAGCGCGTCGCATTCAAAACAGCGCCCAGAACTTCATATATCCCGGCTCGTTTACGACGAGAGACATTTCCCCATTGGGCTAACAGTCGCTGACTGAATAGGCAATTCTGCGTGCTGTTACCGCGAAGGAGACCTCGAGTCGCGCAACTCTAGGAGTGGCTGAATTTTATAATATATGCGAGGTTTCCGGCGTGCGCTGAAAGCGTTACATTGTATTATTCTATAAATACTCGGCTGTACCGTTCGCTCTACTGAATTGTTTAGATAAGATTTATTTTCATGTCCGAACACTTCGATAAATTATAAAGATATACAAAAATTTCGGTTCTTCTCGTTGACACTTCCGACATAGCAGTAATAATATTTTGTGAAAGTCATTCAGTCACTCGACATAGATCGTATATCGTAATTCTAGCTCGGCGTCAGAAGTCACGACAACGGGAACACGATGGCTGGACCCTGTGACTGGTGCTACGCACGAATCTGAAATGCGAAGGTCCGTTAGCGACAACGGGCCGACCGGAAGTGACGGGGTGCCCAGTGATACTACCGAGGACGACTGGTCCCGCGGAAGCGTCGAAGATCCCGACGAAGTGCCGTCGCCGTTGAGCTCGCCATCACCGTCGCCGGCCGAGCCACCGGAACACACGGGACCGATAACAGAACTCGATCGCAAGGTATCAGAATGTCCCACTTTTACTTACAATAGTTACAATTTTAATAGCAGATACTGTGATATTTTGAAGTTTCGAGTGCATTCTGCACAAGTCTGCAAAAGTTTTCTACATTCAATGATATTGCCAGGAATATCTGTTGGTTGCATCGTGTCACATTTAATTTCCAACAAGATTCGAATTACCGAAGAAGCTTTTCCCTCCCGGAAACGAAACTCCAATAATCAAGGATTAAAATAATACTGTGCAATGCAGAAGAGCGCCGCCTTCTTTTCGTGTCGCACGAGGAAATGCATATGCGGAAGATTGAATAATTTATAGTCTTCCTATTAATGTTAATGTAGCTTCACTGATGTATATTCCACGCACGCGTTGTTTCAGTCATATATTCGCATGTCGTTGAGAAAACCTTAGTCCTATACGTGTTATTGCAGACGTTGCGCTTGCATTATAATCATTATCGTATACGAGAAGGAAAAGGTGTACGAAAAGGACGATGTGGGAATCGGCGTTTTTCTCGTGCACGTTTTCCACGCACGTATCTGCAGGCGCGTGTGTCGGATTCCTGCATGCCTAGCGGCGGAAGTTACGCACCGGCCTATCTTCGGCCCTTTGCTTCTCGCTGCGACGACATGTCGAAGCGATTTATCTCGCGTGACAGCCGATCGTTCTTCGTCCGTCCGACAATAACGAAGGCGGACGGGGCGCGGTGAACAAAAAAACCCTCTCCGTCTAAATATACCCCCTGTATCTCTTCGTTTTTGAGCGCACTTCTCTCGATATCTCCAGCATCGCGTGCTTCTCTCTGCCTACAGGTGCGAAGAGCCACCGAGGCCGTCCAGAGACTCTGCCAATGCTCGTCGAACAAGTGCTCCAAGCTGAAGGTACGCAAAGTCGGCGAAGGTCGCTACCATATCGCGGGACGTAACGTCTTTATCAGAGTAAGTACATCCATTTTTGTCATGTATAACTTGTATCCTTTCTTGCAAAATTAATTACGGCCGCTATTCATAGTCAGATCTTGTATTTAAGATTGTCTGAAGCATAATCTTAAGATGTTATAAATCACAGAGCCGTATTAGCATCTTAAGACATTACTTAAGACAGTCTTGAAATAAAAACAGACTGAATATCGGTCGTTAATAAAATCGATATTATATGTTAGATATTATTATAAAAATCCTAAAGACGAGTTGCTTTCGTTTAATATTTCGAATTGCTTCTTGAGATCATATCCCGCCATTTAAAACTTCCGCAGGGAACTTTCTTCTCCTCGAATCTTGAGATCTCTTCTCCTTGTTCTTTATTCCTATCATGTCGCGATGACCCTTGCCAGCCACTAATGACCGCGTTGACGTGTTTGCAGCTTCTCAAGGGGAGACACATGATGGTGAGAGTGGGCGGTGGATGGGACACTTTGGAGCATTTCCTGGCGAGGCACGACCCCTGTCAGGTGAGGGTCCTCAGCCGCGAGGGCACGCCGCCACCCGCTCGCGGCACCAAGCACGACAGCTTCTTGCACATTCGCGCCAAGTATCGCAGCCCGCCGTCGGAACCGAGCCTCTCACGTCGGTCGCTAGCCTGAGAGAGCACGTAGTGCCTAATCACGCGCCCACGATCACGCGGCGCGGGCCCCTCGGGCCCCACGTGGCGTGAAGCCTGCTCGCGCACGCTTGGCGCACGTGCGAATTGATATATCCCGGTACACACCGTATAATACGTGTACCGCTATCGCAACCCCCGGGCACGTCGATTAGACGTCGCCCGTCCCCCTCCGTTGTGCGTTAAGCGACGCGCGGTGAAACGACGCGTGGCGGCTCGGGTTACCGTAAGGACGGTAACACGCATCATCGCACGATTTTTCACGCACGATACATTCCTTCTTTGCCAACTACGTTCGATGAGTTGGCGATTTTGAGGGAAGAGGGGCGCCCCGCGGGGAGCCGCCTTTAAGCGCTCGCGGGGTCACTTCATGCACATTCCGATACTCATATACGCTATTTGCGAGAAATCCACCAGTATATACGCACCGCCTTATACGCCGGTTACTCGCAACGATACCTCTTACCCACTCTCGTACCTACCGTACATCCCGAATTGCGCGTACAATTTGTTACGTGTGTAATCACGTAACGCACGTCGATCACCGGTATATAGAAGCACAGGGATCGCTATTTTTACTACGTCCATGTCAGGTGGTTGAAGAGCATGCAGGTGTCGAAGAGTATCCTCGCAGACGCGCAGCACGCCGCGATTTTTTTAAAGAGAGGCGACGAATAGTCAGAGTTCGATATCTAAGATCGGCGTCTGCGATTCAGGAGACTTTGACCATTCGGACTTTTATCGCATTATCGCGTCAACGAAACAACTATATGTGCTTTCATCTCGAATCATCCCTTCAGGCACTAACGTTTGCAGCGTCTACCCGGAAGTTCTTCGACCAGGAAACGCGCTGCACCTCGGTAATGGTAGCGTTTAAGACCGCAATGACCAAACTTTATTTTCGGAACTGTGTCGTCACGATAATCATACTTATAATAAAACAAATAATAATAATAAGAATTTTCGAATAAATATCCATTTAAGCTCAAGCGTACCAACGCTTGTACGTGCAATAAAAGAGAATAAAAGTGCAATTAAAATCTCAGGTAGAAAATCATCCGTGTCATGCCTTAAAAAGATCGATTAATCTTTTTTTTTCCTTTTCAAGAAATTTCTTTGCGATGTACTATTTTTCTTTGAAGTAACAATAGCGGCCTTAAAAAATTTAGCCGAACTGGATAAGATCGTTACGTTTTTAGTATTGGATGTTGTAACGTAGCTTTTAACATTTAACTATATTCGGGCTTCAATTGCGTTTTGGTCATTGCTATATATCCTATAAATATATTCTTACAGTGCACTGCCATATTTTGCGGCAAGCACGCGATCAGGCACTTATATCATAATAATCGACAGGATCGGCTTAATCCTCTGTGTATTACTTTCTATACATCTGAACAGGAATCGCTTACAACGTATAATTTGCATAAGTTCGATAAATGAATTTTTCTTTGCGCATAAGTTGTATCACGTAATCATATATCATCAAAGAATGGTATGTTCGTATTTAAGAGCGCTTTTTAAAATGTACGTTATTAATTTTTTTCGCAGTTTTATTTCAGTTGTAATCTATTGCGAGCTTGTGACTCTCTCACTTCAGCCGATCCTGAAATTTATAGATACACATTAGCATTCGATTAATATCTAATACAACTTGTATCGCCTAACGTGTAAAGTGCTTCATGGTAATTGCCACGATACACATACACATACACCCTCATATATGTTTTGTACTTTTATATAAATATCTCTATGGTAGGCTAAGGGAGGTAATTGATTGGCGTATTGCCGAGGTAATTAAACCATCTAATTATTCCGCTTACAGAAGTGCAAGAGCACAGTGTGCAAAGGAATACCAAAGCAAAGAAACACGCGACGAGTAATGTCGGCCCGTTGAAGCTAATTAAATCCGTCGTCCGTGATCCGTTTATCGTTTGCGTCGTCAGTTTACGTCGGAAGATTGTGGTTGTGTTTCACGAATCGATGTCTTTTACGAATTATCTTTTTTTACGAAATAATCCGTTCACGGCGTTCCATCCTTTGCGAAATATAATCAGTGTTAAATTGCGATTTGCACTGTAAATGCAATAAGCTTAAGTTTAGCGAGCTATACTACTGGATATACAGGGCCTTACGTTACGCAGATACGATTACTTTGCGAAGGGGAGTTGTTTTCTTAATTTTAAACCGCCCTGCCTAATTAAACTAATTTTCGCCATATTATGTAACTTGTAAATAATACATCGCCCTGACATATCGACAGATTTAAGTTAATCGTACCTGCTTTATACTTTGTTAATGTGTAATACCCGCGGATTTTGCGTGTAACTGTACAATCCGCGTATATACCTAATAAGTTATTTATATATATAACTCGTTAAGCGCCTTTTTATTACAGATTACGTTTAAACTTCTCAATATAGTGGCGCGTAAAATAGAAGGAATTGTGTTTTGATGATATTAAACTGTTGTAAATTTATTTGGGTTATTTATAATAAAATACTGAAGCGGTATAATTGATAAACACGTATTTTAAAACGGATTATTGTCTACTGCAATACTGTTTCATCGTAATTATTCGGCTATTAGTGAAGTATTATAATAGCATTGTACTGCATATATACATACGTTTAGTCTTTGTTCATAATAACTGCACTAGGCTTTCGCAAATTTTAAGATTTTGTCTAATATGCAGAATATATCGTATGCAGCATTATCTTAATCTATTCAACTAAGTTCAAAACTATTATGTCGGTTGTTATATTTTGTTGAACAATAAAATACCTGACAGTAAGATGTTTCTGCAAGTTTTATAAGACCACCATGCACTTTTGGATCCCAATATCAACTTTCAAATAGCATTACCTTTCATTAATTAAATATTACCTTTTCCCGAATAATCTTACGATTCCAAAAATAAAATTAGCTCTATTTCACTTGATACTATACGTGATATATGGGTATTTATTAAACAACGAAAGAGCTGCATTATTTTCTGCTAGTTGACCATAAATATTTGCTATAAATTATCCTTATTTTTGTAAGAAGCTCTCATATTGCTATTTTTAACACCATTTTTAATTAAATGAGAAAAAGGACAAGAATATTTATTTGCATACTAAACATATATTTCGTATAAAATCAAATTCATTACAAATTAATTTAAAAATATATATGTTTGGTTAAACATTTTTCATTAGAGTTATTTTTAGATAATACGAAACATATGCGACTTAGAGTATATCTCTAGAAAAATTTTTGGTATATATTTAATATATACGGAATACTTATATAAAATGCACTATAAAATAAAATAAAACAATATAATATCAGGTATACAGGTATATTATTAAAATAATAATACTACTATTTAATAATGCAATTAAAATGCATGGTCATGATTTAAATGTATAAAAAGGTATCGCCATGATGAAATGTTTTACTTTTTTTTGCTTTTGCCTAACGTCAGCGTGTGATGTGGGGGTTGTTGCGCAAACTGCGCTTTTCGTCTATTGAATTCGATTATATCGTCCTCAAGTTTCTTACGACTGTCTTCTAACTTCTTCTTTTCTTCAGTATGATCTTTCTTCAGCTTGTCGAACTTACTATGAAGCTAATAATGAATAAAAAAAATTAATAAACATTAATAACATTTAACAGCTGTAATGAAATAATAAATATAGTGATTTGAGATTTATACAGATAATTTATAAAAAAATAGTTACATCTTTCTCTGCCTCTTTCAATTCAGCTTCCTTTTCTTTCACTCGAGCAACAAACATCTGTCGCATCTCGTCCTCTTTTTGTTGCAACTCTTGCAAGTGAATGGATCTCTTCGCTTCGCACGTCTGTTGAAAACTTACAGGCTTGTTGTCGCTGTCAACGTCACTAAAACCCATCTGAAAGTTCACAAGAAACTTTAGGAAAAAGATAACTCTCGCGAAATTTCTGACAGACAAATGAAACATACCTGCTCCAATCTCTTTTTCCGGTAAAGTTCGTAGTGACGGCAGTGCGTTTTCTCACGCATATCTTCCATATTGGTACTTATCAGCATCTCGCGTAGTTTTACGAAATCACAATGAGATTCGTTTTCGACTGTAACATAAAGGAAATTTGATGTTTTTAGCTCTTTTCTTTGAGTATAAATAACGAATATGAAATCCACAAGTCGCGTACCTTGAACTGTACCCCACGGATATTGACGAGAACGCATCATTTTATTGCCCACGCGAACGAAATCGGTACTGCCAACGACGGCGAAGGGTACATGAGTATTCATGGTGGAGTTTATATCCGCTACGCTTTCATCATCGGTGGGAAACTGATAAATGTGTATTCCATTGTTTTGCAACTCGGATATTATTTTGCTCTGAAATACAAACATTATAACAAATAAGATTGTGGTACAGATAACACAGACGCATAAAGTAAATGAAAATAATTTCAGCGGAAATTCCACATACTTTAAATTTTTGTAACTCAGTCTTTGATATTGTATCTGCTTTAGCAATGATTGGAATGATATTAACTTTGGTATCCAGCTTCTTCATGCATACTAGATCAATGGATTTCAAGCTGAAAGTATAAAAATGAATGAAAAATTAGAGCAATTCTCGTATTTTATTAATAATTAATAATTTATAACGTCGTACAACGCATGCTTACCCATGACCAGTGGGACATATAAAATAAAGGCAGATATGGATGCGGCTATCATGATAGGTTGCCAAATTGCGTTTGATTTTTAACTCTTCCTGCAAATAAGCTTCAAACTGCGCATCTATGTAGTCGACGACTGCCTTGAAGCTGTCTTCCTTGTTGATTTGATCACCATAACCGACCGTATCGACGATGGTCAACTTCAGTCTAACATTGCTCTCTTGCAATTCGTAGGTATGCGCCTTAAGTTTTACGGACGGTAAGTTATGGGGACTGGGACTAGATTCGAAGCTGGTGTTAAAAAGGGAATCCATAAGCGTGGATTTCCCCAGTCCAGTTTCACCTATATCCAAATAAATAAATATTAAATATTTAAGTGCTACAAATTATTTAGCTTAACTTTGACTACGTTTACACGACGGCTTATAATTCGGTTTAATAATTATTGTATACTATCGGATCCAAAATTTTTCTTTTTTGATCGTAATGATAATTTATATATGAGCCTTTTCTGATATTTAAACTACAACTTTTTTAGTACACAAAATCAAAAATTGATTCAAATATTTTGAATATCAAAATAGGTTCATATTTAAATGATTGTTATAATCAAAGGAAGAAAAATTTTGGAGCAGATAGTATACAATAGTTATTAAACCAGATTATAAGCAGCCGTGTAAACGTAGTCAATAATGAGACTATAATAACACAGATATATAGTAGAATTTGTTGAAATGGTTAACACTTCGTACCGATGCAGAGAATGTTGAACACGAATCCATTCTGCACTGATTTGTTCACCAACTGACTAGGCAAACTGTCAAATCCAACGTGGCCTGACAGCTTCAGCGTACGTAGCATAGACTCGATCTAATAACAGAAATTATATGTTTACATTGCAATTCTCAGAGAAAAGAAAAAGAAAGAGAGAAAGAGGGAAAGAGAAAAAGAGGAAGTAAAGACTGTAAATGGATAAAGGAAGCTTGATTCGGTTTACAGTTATGATACGTGAGAGCCAACACCCTTGGATCTATGACACAGCTACATAGATTCAACTAATCGTACACATATAAAAGAACGTCAAAGACGCTCCAATAAAAAAACGGAGAAAGAAGGTGGAGCAAACCATTTGTAGCCAACAAGTAGAGATATATTGATCTTCTTTGCGAGAGATAGAGAAACTTTTTAAACGTTCCCCAGGCGGAAATTCGTTTAACGAGAGTGTATTTCGACGGAGTGACACACGGAATTGGAGCATGCGAGTCCCGGCCGTTCGACGAAAGCCCGAGGATGCGTTCGTCGCGTCAAGAAACGGGAAATCGGCGCGCGCGAGCGAGAAAATTCTCTCGTCGTACCTTAGC